GGAGTGGCGCGCAAGGGGGGGGGGGGGGACGAGTTTGGCATCGTCGGGCTTAACCCCCTCCTCCCCCAACCCGAGCATGGTCACGCGCAACGACGTCTGGCAGCATGGCAAGTCGAGTCGCCGATTGCGCAAGTCGAGCGAGTTCTTTTCTTTCTCCCAGACTCTGAAATGAAGCGCGAATCGACAGCCACGAAGCAGCAAAGGCCGACGAGTTTGACGAGGACAAATGGCGGCGCTAGCGTTTGTCGCTTCGTACCCAATTGGCACCCAATTACTTTTCCCTCCTTCCATCGTCAATCCACGACCCCTTTCGAACCACAGGACGAGCCTGCGACCGAGCTTTTCCAAAGAAGCTGCCCGACCCGCCCCTCCCAGTCTTTCGTCTCTTCGTCTCTCGAGAACGGCCGGACCGCGGCGCTTTGGTTCCTCTGCCAGAAGTCGGCGCTCCGGTCGATGCGTTGTCATGCAGCGTGGCCTGCAACACGTCAAAAGGGCGTGCTTGCCAATGGCTGAGCCGCCGTTAGTGTTACATGCTGGGTACTCGGTTTATACATGGTGAACGTGCCGCATGGGCGTCTCGAGCTTCAATGTTTCTCGGCGCCGGTTCTCGCAAGCTCCCCCCCCGTCCATGCAAGGGTTTTCCAGCCAGCCGCGCCGTGCTTCTCTTTCCCTTTTCTGTCCCTCTCTGTGTCGACGACATGGGAATTGTCCGTCTCTCTCTCTCGTCCTTGAACCCCATGGACAAAGGCAAACACAAGCATCTTCATATGGTGTTCGGCGCGGACAAGGGGGATGGGGGGGGGAGGCGGCGCGCTGCAGATACATGCTTCGTCATTGTACGCCGCCACGACTTGAGCAAATCATGCATCTTTTGCTCCTTGGTCATGTGAACAAGAATTGTCCAGTTGTTGCCCCAAGGCCTCGCTCTTTTTTTTTTTTTGCAGAGCAGTTCAGCACTTGATGAATCGGTTTTACGCAGGCCGTCACGATAGCAATGCCCAACTTGGCCGAGCGTGGATGCGTTGACACGCAACTTGTTCTTTTTCCTTTTCAAAAGCCCATTCGCAATCTACGCATTGCCCATGTGGCCTGCCTCCATCTTCTGCTGTTCCATTAGGTGCAATCAGGTACGTACATGGCGGACAACGTTCATGATAGGTCCGGTTGGACTTCCCTTTTCACCTGCTGCATGCAGCTTGCCTTCTCCGGGCCCGAAGAAGACAGATGACCCTATCTATGCAAGTCGCGTATGCAAGCTCTAGCGAGCAAAGGCCGTATTGGCCTGCTACACCGGCGGATCCCCCCCAAGTGCATAACTCCCGTTGAGGGAGAAGAGGATCTGGGGAACATCTCGTCCTTCCCCCGTCTTGGCCCTCCGCCCCCGGGGGTTTGCGCGGTTTAAAAGGGGCTCTTCTACTCTTCCTTTCCCCCCGGTCGAGGCTGGCGTTTCTTGTTTTAGTTGGAGAGAAAAATGCATAATTTCTTTTGTGAGCCCCTTGTTTACTTTGCGCTGCTATTGTACGCGGATGGCCCTTCGGCATCGGGTTGACTAGCCTTGTGTCACACCGTTTCCTGATCCCCCCAATTTCAAGCACAGAGCCCTGCGGCCCAAAAAAAAAAAGAAAAAAGAAACGGAGCGGCATGTATATCCCGGTTCGGGAAACTCAATCCCACGCGGCCGGGCAGGAGGCACATAATCGCTCTGGAGGATTGGAATACTCGCCGCCATGGGTTGCGGAATTGCTTCACGAGGCTCGCCGGCGGCTCGACATTGGTGCTGCTCTTCGAAAGAGGCAATTCTCTAGTGGCGCCGCCGACGCGACCAATGTTCAAATCGGCATCGCTCTAGGAGTCATTCTGGGCGTCTTCCTCATAGCTACTGGTGCTTTTCTTTACATGTATCGATCCTCCGTCCGCTTTACCTATCGGAAGCATCGCCGCCATCACTCCAAGTCGTCCAGGAGCTCGTCCAAGAGCGCGGAATCAACACCGCCGCCGGCCCCGGCGCCTCCTCCTCCTCCTGCACCAGAGGCAGAGCCACCCAAGTAGTTGGCATCATGGGGAGTTACGGGTATGTTGAATGAGTTTTGGAGTTTCTGGTTCTGGCTGCCCTACAAGCTTTGATCTGGGGCTAACATGATGGCTGAGAAATAGTTGCTTTCGTTTTTTTTTTTTTTTTTTTTTTAAATTTTAAGGGGACCTATCGGAAGCATCGCCGCCATCACTCCAAGTCGTCCAGGAGCTCGTCCAAGAGCGCGGAATCAACACCGCCGCCGGCCCCGGCGCCTCCTCCTCCTCCTGCACCAGAGGCAGAGCCACCCAAGTAGTTGGCATCATGGGGAGTTACGGGTATGTTGAATGAGTTTTGGAGTTTCTGGTTCTGGCTGCCCTACAAGCTTTGATCTGGGGCTAACATGATGGAAGGAGGGCTGAGAAATAGTTGTTTTTTTTTTTTTTTTTTTTTTTTTTTCAAATTGTACGCGGACGGTCCGAATGTACCACGTGGTGTTTGTTTTTTCGTTACCAGGAGTTTGAGACGTGGCTAGGTTGAAAGTGTATCATAGGACTCATGACATATCAAGTACGAGCGGCAGAAATTTGGTCTTTTTTGATGTAATGACTTAATTGGGTAGGTACATGAACTGACGACGGTGCCAGTGGAAGTTGATTTGGCTTTTTTTTTGTACGCGGAACATCTAATCCAACTACACTACACGGTGCAGGTTTCCTTTATTTCCTTTGTCCACCCCTCCCTGGTCCCTGGTGTTATGCCCTCTCATATCTCGTAATAGAACACCAACCGACATGCGGAGTATATACTACCACAATACGATCCCCATCTGTTGGAGGGCCTCCACTTTTGGCAGATTTGTAACATACCTCATCTCACTCCCTGGCGGCACGGAGACAGTCACCCTGTCCCCCAAGCGCATTGTGTCGCCCCGTCTCCGCCATAACGTGCACACACCATCCGTTGCCCCCTCTCCTCGCCATACCCGGCTGTGCCGATCTAGTCCGTTGTGTCGACACACAAAGCCATTTGGTTACCGGCGTTGATGCCGTGATTGCACCGCCGCAGGGCGAGTCACATCCCCCGTGCTCGGATCCAGCACGTCCAACGCAGCCGGCCCGGAATCAGGGCTGCGGTCGCCTCGTCGACGACGACGTCGAAACTCACCGCTCGAGTTCGACGACAGCCTCACTCTACATCTCCGTCGTCCGACAGGGCGCCGCTGACACCCGTAGTAAGCGAATGCACCTAGGGACACGGCGACGACGCAGCTTACTAGGATGACCATGGCCACGATGCCGCCGGACATTTCTTCACGGCGGTCGAGCCTTTTCATTTGCAGCCGGGGGGGGGGGCTATTTTGGTAGAAGTGCCTTTGGCGTATTCTTGCCCCAAAATGTCGTGGGAAAGAAGATGATTTGTCGGTGTGTTCTTTCTTTCTGTGTGAATGCGTGCTTTTTGATGATCAAGTTGTGAATTTGCTTTTGATAGGCAAGTTGGTAAGAACATGGCGAGAGAAGAGGGAGCATTTTGATGCTTTACATGAGAGCTACTTATACTATCGCCATGTTGCAATTCTGATGAACGATACTTGAATGATGGCGGCTGAAATGAGCTGTGTTTGGTCTATAGGTGACAGTCGGATGAATCTCAGAGCTGCATGGTTTGCTGGCAGCAAACTGCCTTGAAGAGTGAATGTAGCCACCATGCATATTTGCTTATTTGCTGCACGTTGATTAGGATGTTCGCTAAACATGGACGGAGGTGTTCTCCAAACGTAAAGGAAGAATCATGATGTGACATTTCACTCTGTATTACGAGGACTGTGTTTGTCCAAACACCGGGACAATTCACATGTCACAAACCCCCAGGTTTGTGCATCTCACGCAGGGACGGACGGCGTAGGGGGACTTGCCGAGCACATGCTGTACGTGCTTTTTGTGCGCGCAAATCCTACTGATGGGGGTGAATATGCACCATTTGTTGAAGCTTCGTTGTCGCCCGTCGGCCGGATCACGTTCCTCAAGGTATCACGTACCTTAGCAAGTAACACAGCAAGGTGGCCACATGGCGTCCCGTCTTGGCCGACAAACCACTTTTTGTTCCGCTCATTGAGGCGATTATAGAGGACTGACCGACGCCGTTGCCCAGGCCCCAGCCCAGCGACGGCAGGACAGCTCTTCACTACACACCAACACCTCCTTGAGCCGCAGCGACAGCGGCAGAGGCGTCGTTGGATGGAATGGGACCTTGATGGCGTCGACACCCTGCACAACAGCTGCTCCGTACCGGAGTACTCCGTGATAGTTTGCGAGCTTTCTTTGGTTTGTCAGCCGGCAAACACTCACCCTATTGGGGCCCAGGCGGAGGGAGAGATACCGCAACAAGGTGCAGGCTAGATGCTCCAGCCATAATTTTAGCCGTCGGTTGAATTATTCTACTCCTTCAATAATGCTTCAATCTGTTGATCACCAGTCGTTCAGATGCCATGAGTATTGTATGTCATGTAGCTTGCGAATGAGGAGCACCTGATATCCCGGCGCCCTGCCAATCAAGGCTTCACCCCAGCATATAAAGCCTCCAGCAATGAACGGCGTTGAGAGTGTCCCTTGTGCGACATGACGCCAACGCTTTCCGAAATTCCGCGAAGCATAGCGGTGGATATTGCGCCCCCCCCCCCCCCCCCCCCCCCCCCCCCCCCCCCCCCCCCCCCCCCCCCCCCCCC